TATTTTTTATATTAAAATATGTCAGATTAAGATATAAAATAACTCAAAAAGTACTTAATAAAAAAATACTTTATTATAGTGTTTTGAAAAACTCTTGAAATAAGCTACAAGAATATGCAATAAAAAGTGAGGATTTCCATTTAAGAAAACATCGATCACATTGATTTGGCCTTGAAAAGGTCATTCAAGGTCAAGTCCATATTTTCATCATGTGTCCCCCTGTAAATCATACAACTTTTGTCTAAAACATTTTTGTCTTAAACTCTTAGATTTTAAGATATTTTAGTGGATACATTAAAATGGCCTACCCTGTATAAGTCATATGGAATATATATTTATTTTGGATAAATTTGCATGTATCGCATTCTAAAATGTATAACGTACCGCAGAAACGATGAAAAGTATCCAAGTTATGCTTGAGTTAAACGGCAATAGATCGATAAACGTAGAAAATTTAATAAAATAACCAAATATTTGTATCAAATTGGCTCACAAAAATGTATTTGGCAATGCCATAAGGTTAATATTTTCATTATGCACGGTTGCAAAATGACTACTATTCAATTTTATATGTCGGAAACTCGCACATTAATTTTATTACACAGTTAAAAAGAGAAAAACATCACAAGAACAAGATTAGTCATACCTCGTAGTTTTTTGACACTGTGTTTGACACAAATTGCTCCATTATTTTACAATTTTGAGAAACTTGCAATTAAAGTTATAAGAAATTGCCACTTTAATATATTTCGTTATATTATAAATATAGTATGTGTGTGACACGTTAAAAAAGTTATATTGCAATTAAAATAAATATGTTGGGGTTTTCAGCCCTTAAGAGAAATTTATTAAGATCTCTATATCACACAGTTTTCAGTTAGGTTTTTTTAAGGGTTTTTTAGATCGCTAAATACAAATCCAATTGTCAAAATCGACAAATTTAAAATGGCAGAATTAATATGGATATTAAAATTTAATATTTTGATTTTTTTCAAAAATTTATATATACAATATATATGAATTTGTCAATTTTGACATTGGATTGTATTCAACGATCTAAAAAATCCTTAAGCACGAATAAACATAATTATAAACTATTAATGATCTAATTCAGAGACTCTATAACAGAGACTCCATATATAAAACCACGAATTTTTATTAACCATAGTTGACATAACAAATTCTTTTTAAGGGCGGAATCTTAACAACATACTTAATTTTGACTACAATAAAACTAATACGTCACATACCGTAGTTATAATATGATAAAATACATTGAAATAGCCATTTCTTCCAATTTTAACTGTATTTTTCTCAAAATTCTGACATAATGAAACAATTTGGAAACCGAAATCGCATATTCAACGTTAAAAAAACTACAGGACATGATTAATTTTATTTTTTTTTGTGTTCTAAAAAAAGTTATTTTTTATTTAAAAAAATATATTTATCATTATTATTTGCACGTATAAGAAAAAATTTCTTTTGCGTGTCTCGTTATTGTTATGATACTAGAATTCGTAGCCTTCTGTAGATTTAAGAGATTTGGAAGATATCTTTGTTTCAGAAGTATGGATAATGAAACAATCCACGAAAGCTACATGTGTTCTATATCGCAACGTACAAACGGCGTCCTTGAAGTCGCGCAAGAAAAGTTTTGTAGCAAATTTATATCGACCAATGCATTCATGTAGACTTTAATCAGTTTTGGTGGCAAGAAACCGCGAAAACGTCTTTTCGAATAGTCGTGCTATATACAGTTATAAATTTTTATAATTTCCATCAATGAAAAATGCATGTGCGAAATCTTTTATATCGTCTTAAACACATGGAACTTGCTTGAATGTTCTGAACCGATTTAATTAGACATTTCTGTGGCTATTCATTTTTATAATTTGCAATTATGATAAAAATTTTGTGTCATAAAGAGAATGGGAGAGAGAAAGAAAGAGAGGGATGAGAGAGAGAGGGAGGAAAGAGGAAGAGAGAGATGATGCACCACTCACCAGTCTGTCCTTTCCCCAAGGTCTTTTCCAGCCGATAAGGGCCGACGTACTGATGAGTCTCCTGGGTGTTGGACCCAATGGGGCTCTCTTTGCCCTGCATCGCTGCCGAGCCTCCGCCTTCCTCTTGGTCCGCCAGATTGAATGGTTGTTTTGTACAAGCCACTGAGGTCGAACCACACAATTCTTCTTCCTCTTATGCTCTCCACGTTCGTCGTTATCACTTTTTTACGAGATTGCGTATCGGTCTACTGTGTTTTACCGCGATTTTGTACAACATTGTGCACTTTGTTAATAGAATAATTTTAAGGCTGGACTTGCGATGAAATATAAGAAATGCTTTAAAGACAACTCAATAAATTGTCTTTGATTTAAATTTTTTTAGTTTTATTCTAACACGAACATCCAGAAACAAACAATGTGATATACGTTAAATGTCAATTTGTCGTCAGTATTCCACCTTTTCTCGAATATCATATACATTCTGACTCAAACACAAATTATTTGCGAATATTATCGTTGCCTTCCACTCTAATCAGACGAGAACAATAATAAATCACGTGTCACATACATCCATCGTTATCTCGCCAGCCTAAATTCTTCTCCTTCAAAAGACGATATTTATTGGACGTTCGGCGATGAGAGGGATCGCCAAATACTTTCAGGCAGAAACATCATATATCTAAATACACTCATGCTAACATCATTACTATCGTGAATGTTTTTTTATCTTCGGTGGATGTCTCTTGCGAATTCTTTTCATATTGTCTCTTTGACCATGCATTGACAAGATTGCTGATAATAGCTGATCCGTTATTTGAATTAGCGAGGTATTAAGCGAACAATATAGAGGTATTGGGATTTAGATATTTACGAAAATACTCGCTCCTGCATCAGTCGTTCGTGGTCCGCCAGGATTCCACGAAAATGGAGTTGGGCGCCATTATGATTTGAGGAAAGACACCACACAGCACCCTGCCTTGTCAGGCTGAGTCTCAATAAAATCGGCCGTTTTTAGTCGCTCATCATTTCGCAGTTCCTCCACTTCACAATGATTTTCCTTGTTTGTCCGCCGACTTTAATCAAATGTATAGCCAAGTCGGATATTTCCCGTTGACCGTCGATATCCACTTTGCTCGGCACTTGTACTAACAAAACAATTTAACAATCTTCTCAACGTTTTCTAGACACTTTCGGATCGAGCTGGCACGTACGCACGGGCACCCTCCTTTGCTTGAGTCATTCTATTCTGCACGCATTCACGCATCGATGTTGCTATAATCTAGCAATAAACAGCGTGATTGTGCTTGCGATCGGAACTCTTTATCGCGATGAGAAACCAACCCTCAATAATCTTTATCTTCACGTTTTATATAGATTATATATTTTTTTGTTCTTTTCATTGAATTACATTACCATTTTTAGCGATGAAATTTAGCCCCGTCTTACGGAACTGACGACGACTACCACGGCGCTCCCAGTTCGATTATGTACCGGGCACACAGAGGGGGGTAAGCAGTGCGCGCGCATCCCCACGCCCGTTAACGAGAAGACTCCTTCCGCCCTCTGCGTGCATAGAGAATCATCACCCACCAACGACATGAGGGTGTCAAATCAGGCTCTGGAAAACGTGGCGGACAAGAACCGCCGCGTGTCCATCTTCAGGGGTAGCAAAGCGCGATACGCGAGGGTAGTGTTGCAACCACCGTCGATACAAAGACAATTGCCGGTGGTTTGTGTCCGGGCTTCATCGTGGTTGAGTAGGTTCTTTGTCATGTGAGGATGTTCATAGCTTGTTTTTTTTCCTGCCATTAATTTTGTTATTTAAAAGGTATATATAGTTCGTTATTTTTGTCCTCCTATTAAAAGGTGATTGTATTTCGGACAAGTTGTCAAAATAGTTGTATTCGGTAGATAATGTGCATAGTATAACATGTATACTGTAATTTTGAATTTATATTATATATTAATATATTAATATATTGAATATATAATAAATATATATTTATTTCTTCTATTGTGTAAAATTATCCCAAAAAAGACAAAATATGAAAATATTTTTATGTATAAATATTTTACACACACACGCACACACACACACACACAAATAGATATTTTACGACACTTGGAAAGAGTACATTATTTCAACAAAAATGGGATATATAATTATTTTTTATTTATTATAAATAAAATATTTACATATAATGCATTTGGATTTACACCAAGAAAAAAAGAGGAGAATGTTATTATAAAATATTTTATCTAATACATTGTATTAATATAAATGGCAATATAGTAGTAATATACAGGGTGAGTTATTTTAATCAACACACGCAAATATCTCGTAAAGTAAGCAAGATGAAAAAAAATGTTTTATACAAAAGTTGTAGGGTTCAGAGGAGGACACATGATGAAAATATGGACTTGGCCTTGAGTGACCTTTTCATGGCCAAGTCAATGTGATCGATGTTTTCTTAAATGGAACCCCCCATTTTTTATTGCATTTAATTGATCTGTCTTATTATTCTGTAAATAAAAGTATTACGGTAAGATTATCGAAAATTAAATATTTTACGAAATATTTTTTATATGAAAATATGTCAGATTAAAATATAAAATAACTCAAAACGTATTTAATGAAAAAATACTTTATTATAGTGTTTTGAAAAGCTCTCGAGATAAGCTATAAGAATATGCAATAAAAAATGGAGGTTTCCATTCAAGAAATTAAAGATGACCTTTACATGACCTTCAAATGACTATCCAAGGTCAAATCATTGCTACCATCTTATGTGCCCCTTGAAATCATACAACTTCTGTCTGAAACATTTTCTACTAAAACTACGTGATATCGAGATATTCGACTGACAAAAATAAAATGGGACACCTTGTATATACAGGGTGTCCTAGACCACCCGTACACCCCTTTTCTTTTAAAAACTAAGCATTTTAGAGAAAAACGTTTTGAACAAAAATTGTATGGTTTTGAGGGAAACATAAGATGGTGTCATTGGTTTGACCTTGGATGGCATCGTTAAGGTCAAGTCAAGGACACCTTTAATTTCTTAAATGGAATCCCCTATTTTTTAAGAAAAAGTATGTAATTATTTACAATGAATTTTTTTAAACAATTATTTGTTATATATATATATATATATATGGATATATCTCACTCTCTCTCTCTATGCGCGCGCGTATGTGTATTTTTATAAAAAAGTGGACATCGCAGCATGAACTTAAGAAAAACAATTGCTTAGATTGTCTTGGATAATAAGAGATAATTTCATTTTAAATATATAGAAGAATTGTTCTAAAAGAAGAACCCGTCGAAGATAAAAAAGTTTTCATCATATTACTCTTTTAAACGTAATAATTAATTCTTTTTCAGCGAGAGGAAGAGAGGGAGAAAAAAAGAAGCCTTTAAAGACATTTTCCCCATATGTATAAATATGCAGGGAAAATTATCTGCGGCAAGGCATGAACTACCACGGAAGAAAGCAACTTGTATAAGCGCTAAAGTGCAATATACATGGTGATTCGCTCAATCTATATATAATGTTCGTTACTTTCGAAATAAAACGGATTGCCTCAACTTAACAGACCAAAGATAGTGTTATGTTTCATCGTGTTTCCTAGCTAATTTATCTTTATTTTTTTAAATTTTGTCTCGCGCGTTACTCTGTTTTTCAAACCTATACATTTCGCTAAATTTTCTATAAAACATACAAAGGAAATGAAAGGCAATCAAGAGTCAGCGCGGTAATTTGTGCGCATATGTTTTATTACAATCAAATTATATTGATATTAGCCTTCATTTACAGACAGACACGGAATGTTTATATTATGCTTATACGGATGTGATCGATAAATTACCAAAACTTTGAAAGTCATGCCGTCTTATTTGTAAACACTTCTTTGTATTTATATTTACTGTATGTATCATGCGATATGAAAAGACTTGACATTCTGTCTCGAACATACGTGTGTATTGCCAGTTATTTTTTAATGTAGTATATTTTATCGGGCAATCTCTTTCTGTCTCAAAATTACATTATACAGGGTGTCCTAGACCACCCGTACACCCCTTTTCTTTCAAAAACTAAGCATTTTAGAGAAAAACGTTTCAAACAAAAATTGTATGGTTTTGAGGGGAATATAAGATGGTGTCATTGGTTTGACCTTGGATGGCATCGTTAAGGTCAAGTCAAGGACACCTTTAATTTCTTAAATGGAATCCCCTATTTTTTATTGGATATTCTTGTAGCTTATCTCGAGAGCTTTTCAAAACACTATAATAAAGTATTTTTTCATTAAGTACTTTTTGAGTTATTTTATATTTTAATCTGACATATTTTGATATAAAAAATAAAATATCTCGTAAAATATTTAGTTTTCGATAATCTTACCGTAATACTTTTATATACAGAATAATGAGACTCGTCTATGCTTTTTTTTCCTTTAATTATAATGTATTAGTACTATTTTTAATCTACTATCCGATAGTTAACAAAAATGTTATTTAGTTTTGTTATTTATCTTTTCTTCTGTTTAAACTTGTTCTGGCTAGGAGAAAGTTGATATTATTAAATATTTACAAATAAACGATTTGGCAAAAAATATTACTATGTTAATATATGTATAGAATCTGAATTGCTTAATAATAAGAGCAATCACCCGAAAAATCAAGTTGAAAGATCGGGTTTTATTCTTGGTTTGACAATGAGTAATTAATTTAGCAATACTGCAATATATTTTTCTTGTTAAATATTTGTTAGACTTCTGGAAAGATTACTGAGAAATATATAGAAAACATATTAAAACATTTAAACTCTTTTATAATTTAATTAAAACATTTGGTATTTTTTGAAAGAAGTCCAAATAATGAACTAAAAATTATAAAAATTAACGAGAAATAGTTTCAGATTTAAATAGGAAAACTGGCACGCGCCTTGGCTCTTATCTGCCAGTTTTCCCTCTTAATTGTTCTTATCCTGAGCTTATTGTTGTTATTATTGAGTTTCAGATTTATTTCTTATGTTATTACGCACTGTTTACCGCATTAGATTCGGTAATTATTTACTATAACGGACCCAGCTCCAATGATGTTGACCTTGACATATGTTGTCAAAAATATAAGGGGGCGGAACCCACTGTGTCCATGCATATACTTTACAATGCGAAGCGAGGTCAGCCCAGAATCTTTGTGTGAATGGGAAAGTATATGCGTGAACGCAGTGGGCTCCGCCTCCCCTTCGGGGGGGCTCCACTTCCGGAAGATATAACCTAACTCAAACCTATTTCTGAAAATTTTATTTGAGTTATACAACGTCCTGATGCGGATGGACGAAGAAGAGCGAATTTTAAATGGATCACCCCGTATATCGACCTGTAGACGAGTACTGTGGAGAGAGAAAGTTAGCATAATAAAGAGATTTCACCGTAGGTGAATGAGAAGGAGAAAGAAACAACAGCCGATGGCACCGAGAAGAAGGGGTGCTTAGGATCGATAAATATATGTATAGGAAAAGGAATATAGAGAGAAAACGTGTAACACCGGGAAACTCCTGGGGATGACTACTAATAAGGTGATTCAACTCAAAAGAACAAGCCGTGTTTCAATCTGGATCGGTAATTCAATTGTGTTTTTTATGCTAAAACAAATTTTCCCACATCAGCGGTCACGATGTCGAATTAACTGCGATATGTTGATAAAAAAAATTGTTATACGAATAAATTTACATAATAAAATAAAATAAATGATGGAAATCAGTACGTCATTTACATTAAAATGCAAAAAGAGAAGTGGCATATAATCCGCACACATTCCGCGTTTGTCAAAAATTTTTCTAATGTACTGAATAAAAATGGAACAAATTAAGTCATTTCTTTTCTTAAAGCAGAGTACCTAATGAAATGATAAATATACATCACGTATCACATACAAATTATTGTATCCCAAAAATCAATTGGATATACTATATAAATTTTGATCTTTTGTAGAAAAAATGTTTCAATTTTAACAAATTGAGTTTTAATTGCTTAGCTTTTAACACACATACTGTATTACCCAAACTCTCTCTCTCTCTCTCTCTCTCTCTCTCTCTCTCTCTCTCTCTAATATTTTTTCTCACATCTTTTTAATATATCTTACAGAAACTAGGAGAGGAGATTCATTATATTAATAGAGAAGTTAGCTGACTTTTATAATTATTATTACTAATAATAATTATCAATCTAATAATTTATTAATTTTTGCTACATTTACATTTTCTGCTATTTATACTCAGGTTTCTTAGATTTGAAGCTAAACATCAGGAGCATCACTTTCAGGTTTTAAAAACACAAGTATGAGCGATTGACTTAGCATTGTCTACTTGCTGTTCTCTACAACACAGAATTAGATAACCGTCATAAATTTATAATTATCATCACGAATGACGAATCAATTTGTGTTTTTAGTGTAAAACATATAATTGTTTTTAAGAAAAA